CACACACACACACACACACACACCAGATCGTGTGGCACCGGATACCTCTCCCTTTTTTCCTCCATCCCGTATTTCACTTCGCCGATATAATGACTCGCGACGATTTTCGAGGCAGCGCAGTCGTTCGAGGCAGCAGGTTTTTCCGTGGATTTTGCACACGATTCTCGTCACTCTCTGCCGCTGCTCACGTTCTCGCTTTAACCAGCAGCGAAAGACACTAATTTTTACGTGTAACTACATTCCGAGCTGACGAATGACGCGGAGTTGATCCCCAAGCCACGTATCCGCCCTCGAGCCGCGCCCTCGGAAACAGAATCCCGAGTTTCTTTTGAATATGGAAACGCATTATCCGCCGGCAAACACCACCACGTAGGAATCACGCCGTCGGAATAACAAAAATTCCGCACGATTCGGCATCACGTCATCGGGGATTACTGGCCTCCTTTCTCTCTGTGTTTACTTGTCAATTCAAGCGGTCAAATTCACGCGTTTCATCAAACTTTTTCTTTAATCTATTGCACTCGGACTTTTCTCGTCATTTTTATATCGATAATTTATTTACGAAATAGTGAGTGAAATATGAGATAAAAACATTGAGGTGGTACAACATTGGAGATGATCGTCTTATTTAAATGATATTTCATATGAAACTTATATCTTTCTAACGTGTATGTAACGTTTGAGTGCAATCGTCAATGTGCATCGCGGCTTTGCTAAGTACATGTTATATAATATATAGGAATAACTTTTTATGTAAATCTACAAGTATATATCAGTTTTTATTTCAAATACTTGTTCAGATACCACAGATATTGCACCAAACAAACGTCTAAGATCATCTAGTGCAATCACCGATTACTAGACTATGGATTTTTGTGCAAAATCAGATTCTTGAAAATGTAATTAAGAAGAATCTTGGTTGGCTAAATTAATTCCCTTCAAAGGGATGCCACCACGTCAAATGCAAAAGGTGGAAACTTACAAATATTGCATACTTGCATTCACATCTTCATCTGACAAATGCTGGACCCATCTTTTCTATCAGCAATAAATTCGTAACGATAATTAATATATTATGTTAGTCCTTAAGAAAAGAAACTACACATGTGCCTCTAGACATAACATATTGAAGCAACGTTAAAAAGCAACGTTTCGCTGTTGGTCCCAACATCCGTCGTTCGAGGGTTAAAACGGAAGATTAAAGTATGCTTCGGATACTCTCGATACCTGAAAGCTTTGCAATAACAACCGAAGCTTTCAGAATGGACGTCGCGGCGGAAATATCCAAGGATAAAGGAGCACGGTTCTCCATTCCCTGTTGATACGATTCCGTTTCCTAACACCTAACGAAAAAGAGGCCGAGACTGACCGTAGGAGTTTCGAAGAATAGTGTCAGGTGCGCGGCCGGAAACACGTCGATCCGGTCGATTCCCTCCACGTTTACGGATTTCCGACGAATTCAATTTCTTCGTTGGCCTTAATCCTTGCCGTTCGCTGATCCCCCTTTGTCCGGCGTCGCAGTATCGGAGTCCCGTAATCCCGTAATCGTAGTCGGGGACAAATTTAAGGTGCCGCCAATGCTCTGACAAATTTCGTTTCCTTGCTACTCCTACATGTAGCTTTGATCTCTATATCCGCTTGGAAACCGCGCCTATTGCCTTTCCAAAGTTTCCTCGTTTCCTTCTTAACGCTTGAATCTGAACACTCAGTGTATCCGTACGTATATCTCTGTTAATTCAACAATTTGGATACGAGTCGAGTAATTGTAAATTGTCCAATCACAACACAATAGATTGAACAAAAAATTTAATCAAACTGTTTGAAATGTAAATGTGTACATGTCAGATTTTACCTCCAATTCGTTTGAACCTTTCTATTGATGAATGTTCCAAACAGAACTTACTTTGTATTTACAATCGTCACGAATCTTATTTAAGTGCCTTTGAGATTTCAAAGTAGCCTTTGTTCATTTTTAACTTAATGCTTTTGTTTAGCCATTTATTGCAATAAATATATTGATTATTCTATCTGTAAACGATAATTCAACTCTTTCGAATGTTACACAACTAATTTACGTTTAGGTAGGTATTTCTAATTATAGATGCTTAATCCTTCTTCCCGATAAACTTGATCTTTTATAGAATATAAAAAAGGAAAAGTTCAGAGAAAATTAGATCCAGAGACTTTGGTGAGTGTTCTACTTCTTTTCCTAAACAACTGGGAAACATCGTTTCTTTAACTCGATAGTCATATTAAAAGGCGAAGTATCCGAATAATATGAAAAACTGAATTGACAGACATCTGCCAACAAATTGATCGTGCAACGTTCGAGAAACAGGAATGAAGAGTCTAGAGTTGTCCTTTCGAATACAGAAGATAAGAACGCACTTGACGAAAGTAAGTTTTAAAAAGTAAGAGTAATGTATTGTATTGTATTATAGGTCGATAAATATTGTTCTCGAATTGTTAATTGAAAATGACGCATATCATGTATGCGTGTAGGTATGTTAATCACAGGACGTAGGACGATCGTTTGTCCACGGATGGATCGGAGTTTCGAGGTCAAGGATGATCCGGGAAGGAAACGCGTGCTCGAATAGTACTCAGCTGTCTCGAAGCTTTTGTGCAGCTTCGTCCCCGCGAGCTACTAGCACATGAAAAAAGTTCAATTTCTTTTGTACGACATTTAATCCGACACGGAAAGAACTTGCTGAAACGCGCCCTTTCTATCTTCTTCTCCGAAACTTCTCTTCTCTTTCCTGCATCGTCTCTACTGAAACATCTTTGACCAATCTGTTTGCAAGAATCCTTTCTCATTTGAAATTCTTCTCGTTTAATTATTCTTCATTTTAAAAAAATCTCTCCATTTCCTCGTTTGTTGTTGAAACCGTGGTAGCGAAAGAAATTAAAAGTACGACGTACAATAATCGAAGAGTGGGCAAATTAATTACAGGTGCATTCAATTTTGCAAAGGTATCCGTGTATCATTAATTCTAAATTTACGACTTGAAAAAAAAGTTGCGCACTTAAGATAATTATTGACACTCTCTTTCTTATATAAAAGGTGATAATCAAGCGATTCACGTTCTCTTAAAACCGTGGCACCGAATTATCGAGCTGATCTGTGATAAAACATCAGTGTCGCTTCACACTTCGAGTAATTGACCATCCGTGTGAAATCAGTAGCATTTGTCAATTAATTCAGCGTGCAGCGAAGAAGGGCAACGCCACCACCCCAGCGACCTGACGTAACGAATGAAATTTCACGGCTGTCTTTCCGCCGTCGATACTAACTAATTAATAGTAAATCAGTCCGGGTGGATAATGGATGGCGTTTTACCAGGTTGCATCGGCGCGCGCGTTCTCGTATCGCGAATAACATGGTGTGCTCCACGTCGGGCCGATAACGTCGTTATCAGTGCATATGGGTTTCAGGACCCACGTGCGTTTGTCATATCTGCAGTCGCGACGTTGACGGGGGTTGGGGGTTTGGAAGAGGGTCGGACGACAGAAGAGGAGAATAGTGGCCGTTCAAGCATCCACCAACCCCTATTTCCCAGCCATCTCCGTTTATTCCCTATGCACGGCTATTTCCACGCGTGATTTTCCAGCGTGCAACGAAACGTCAATATTAAATTTACAAGGGACTGGAGAGATCTTTCACGGTGTTGCGTGTCCATCATGTCGAAAACGTTTCGAACGAATCGTTCCGTTTGACAAAATCGCGTGCCTGAAACGGCGAAATCTCGTGGAAATTCAAAGCTTCTGTTTTCTATCGTTTGAACGGCAAGATAAGTTTGCACACGTGAACTAGCCGTTACGTGGTCTAGCCGTATTTCCCGACTGATTAAATTAGTTTGAACTCGCCGATTTTAAACGTTCTTTCCGATACCACGCTTCCGTTACTCTTCAGTCGTAACGCGTTAAACGTGTCTATCCTTTCGGCAGAAACTAAGCGAATCAAACGTTTCAGCAGCGTGAGGCTTTTTTTTTTTTCTTTTTAGAGAACCGCGCCGTAATCACATTTAGTTTCGCGG